TAGTAAACAAAGTAAAAACAAATACTTATCCAACCATTTTAAATAGTAAAGTACAATTTTTTTTGTACTAAGCTCTCTGCATTGGTAAATTTTACCACCCAAAATTATTTGTGTGCACGAATGCTCGTAAATTGACTTGCTGAACCAGTCATTAATGACTAAAGTTGAATGGGATTGATCCAAATTTGTAGATATCATGGCCTTTATATGATGCAAAGATGATTGTGTCGCACGCGACAGTCGCTTGAAGCTGACAAAAAACATGTTCCTAGACTTTTTTCTTTAACATAGGGCTTAAATTAAAGCTCTTGATTATAACCGTAAGCGGAGCTAGGTATGACTTTGGACCAATGTTCGTGCTTAAAATATATACGAAAATTAAAGCCTTTCGTACGAGACCAAAATATAAGTGATTTATTTGACCATCTCAACTTTAAATTGCAGCGAAACGTTAAGAAATATTTCGAAATATTACGCGACCAAAATATAAGATATTAATTTGACTAACATCTCAACATTAAATTGCAGCGAAACGTGAAGAGATATTTCGATACCGAGGCGCGACAATAATCTGCCTCAAATTTTATCACCCCCTATGTTTTGGTAAAAGCGTCATCTTGCTGTGAAATTTATCTAAGCATCAAATAGGCTTCGCAACTGGCAAGAATAAAATTAAATACTGTCCACTCAACTCAATCGTTTATATTTCTGACCATATTGCTGGTCCATTATTCCGGATTCTTGGACAGTTTTGAAGTGCTTTGATTCTCAGGAAGTTGGAAGGTTAAGTCGATCCGGAGATCGACAAAACGGTCTACAAAGCAAAATACCTAGAGGCAATCGCTATACACAAGAAAAGAAGTAATGATCTTCAACCGGGGACATATACTAGCAGTGCGAATGAGTGAGCAACGAGCAACGAAACGAGTTAATTTAGTGGATGTCTTAAACTTAGAAAATGGGTATCATATACCTCATTTATACAAATGCACAATTCCCAATAGTTTAAGTTTTTGGAACTGGTATCCTGGGAAAGATATTCTAACATACAACGTAGGCCCAGCGGCAAATCCTGATTGCACAAAGAAACAGGTCTTGTCTGACGTCCCGAGGATATTTGATTCACTCGGACTCTTGGCCATTGTAATCCAGTTTAAAATTGGGATGACCCGCTTCCAACAAAAATGGAGGACAACAGGCTGAATTGGAGAGCAGATCTACACACTCTACAAAAGTTCCAGTTACCACGCTTCGTTACCAACCACGCAGACAACATCGAGTTCCAGGGATTTTCGGATGCTTCCACCAAGACGTATGCTGCTGTGGTGTAGATCTCCACCGAAAAAGCAATCTTTGCCATGCCTGGGACTTCAAGCAGCACTTCGTCTAAGCCAACTTATTCGCTCGATCTCTTCTGGACTGCGCCACAGGAACATAACTGCTTCCGTCCGACCCATCAATAATGGTCTCTTGGTTATTCGATGCACCAGCCCAACCCACACCTCCCAGCAAAAATGGCTGATTTACCCGGCGTGCGTGTCACTCAAGTCCTTCCATTTGTAAATACTGGCTGCGTTTATGCAGGTCCAATCTTCCTAAAGGGTCTCAAGGTTGGGAAGCCACGTATCAGGAAGGGCTACATTTGCCTGTTTGTCTGCATGGTCACCTCTGCCATACACCTGGAACTGCCTTGCGGCGCTTCATATACATACGTGGCAAGTTTAGCAAGATATTCAGTGACAACGGAACAAACTTCATTGAAGCTAAGCGATCCCTCGACGAAATGCAAGAATTGCCTTCATCTCATAAACATAAGGACATCTTCACATCCACTCTGGCGCATGATGGAGTTCAGTGTGTACTCAATACTCCGGAAGCTCCTCGTTGGGGAGGAATATGGGAGTCGGCAGTTACCTGTGTCAAACTGCATCTCCGCAGAATCACCGCCCACTCACCCTCCCACTTCTTAAGTGGGCGTCCGTTTACCACCGTGCCAGATCCTGACTTATGGCACTTTGCTGTGGGCCGATTAGGGTATTGGCAAAGCATCCAGGCTATACTCCAAGGATTGTGGATGAAATGGCATCAGGAGTACTTGACTACTCTAAAAAAAATCCGAGAAATGGACCACTTAAACACCCAACCTCTCAATTGTCGCTCTCGTTGAGGAGTCAATCGCGCGGGTTAAGAAACCCTATCCATGGAAAGACAGCCTCGTTCGAGCAGTCAAATTGAAGACATCAACAGGAGAGATGATCAGACCAATCCCAAAGGTTGCCGTTTTGTCCAATTTAGGAGCTGTTTTTCAGGGCGGGCCGGGATGTTCGTGAACGGTTGTAGTCTGTAAGGTACTCTCATCTTTAGGCGCATAATGCCATTTTATCCTATACACTATGTAAAAGAAAAACGACATATACATACATATTTTCGCGCTCTTCAACGCTGATACGACTGCTCCTTTTTGTGAAATTCAACTCAGTATTAAATAGTCCTCGCAAATGGCAAGAATAAAATTAAATACAGTCCACACAACTTAATCGTTTATATATCAGACCCATCATTCATAATTCCAAAAAATCGTCAACATCGATGTTGACTTGGCAAACATCAGACAAGAAAGTACGCTACAGTCAAGAGCCTCGACTATCAAATACCCGTTATTCAGGTTAAAAGAGCTAAAGGGATACGGAGAAATACAAGTAGCAAAGCGATATTGTAAAGCGCCGCCTACTCGCGATTTCAATATATGGTTATGTTGGCAGCAGACAGATTTAAGTATTATGGGCGCCTGTGGGCGTTAGAGTGGGCTTGGTATTGACGAGACTAATACAACACAATTAACACTTTTTTTCTAGCACTTAAACTGTAAAAGCCACAGTTGTGAGCTGTTTGTGGGCATGGCAGGTTTGCGTAACCAAATTGCACTGCGTACGAAACTAGGGAATCTAAATCATAAATCTTAACTCTCTAACTCTTATAGTTTCCGATATCACAGCGTTAGCATGGACAGACGACTGACATGGCTAGATCGACTCGGCTAGTGATGCTGATCAAGAATATATATACTTAATGGGGTCGGAGACGCTTCCTTCTACCTGTTACCTACTTTTCACCGAAAAAGAATTAGTTTGGTACGATTTTTATTGTGATGTGAAGGAGTGTAGGGTATAGTGACGGACAATTCGTTTTTTGAATGTCACTTTTCCAAAAATTAATATTTTTCAAAAGTTTAAAAGCAGATAGTTGTTGACATCTGTAGAGCATAAAAGTTCGATGGTAAAATTCGAGCGGAGTTAAATTCTACAGCTCTTGGTGTAATCCAAAATTTTTTCACTTTTTAAAGTTGTAGGGTAAGGTGACGAACTCGTAAACACATACTGAAACTCTATGCAGATGTGAAAATTCTTTATTTTTCCTACAAGAAAGGTTTAAAATGTACAGCAATGGAATACAAATTGAATAGTACACTTAAAAAACTGACTACTTAAGTTCTGGGTTATAATTAAATAGATTAAGTTGATCCATTTCTAATTCTCGAAAATCATCACAAAATAAGTATGTTTATCGGCTGTAAAAAAATAAACAAATAACAATATATTACCAACAAACAAACAATACAAAATCTTCACACCTTGCAAAATGTTTGTCACCAGAAACTACACGAAAAACTAAAAATACGATAATGTCACTTTCATAAAGCCTAGTACTCAGATCGGCTATGAGTTTCACTAGTCGAAAATTGTTATTCTTTGTAGTGTGACCGATGTATTTAAAGTTCACCCGCAATGCGTCTAACATGGTCTTACTGTCAAGCAGCTGGGTTTGTTGCCAAACGGAAAACAAATCAATTGGAGAAATTTAAAAAGGAGGTGTCTGCTGGTACACAAAGAAATTTATATAAAAACAAGGAAGAACGCTATAGTCGAGTACCTCGACTATCAGATACCCGTTACTCAGCTAAATAGGGATATGCAAGTAGCAAAGCGAGATTAAAATGCGCCACCTACCGGCGGTATACAGATTTAAGCGTTATGGGCGTTAGAGTGGGCGTGGCAAATTTTTTTTTGGACCAATCGATAGGTATTGACAAGACCAATACATTTCAGTTAAATTTGTTTATCTAGCATGAAAATTGTGGGCGTCACAGGTTTTCGCGGTTTGTGGGCGGTAAAGTGGGCCTGGAAAACTTTTTTTTGGACCAATCGATAGGTATTGATGAGAACAATACATTTCATTTTTTATCTAGCATGAAAATTGTGGGCGACACAGGTTTTCGCGGTTTGTGGGCGTTAAAGTGGGCGTGGCAAACTTTTTTTTGGATCAATCGATAGGTATTGATGAGAACAATACATTTCAGTTAAAATTTTCTATCTAGCATCAAAACTGTATGAGCCACAGTTTTGGGCGGTTTGTGGGCGCTAGAGTGGGCGTGGCATTCTACTGAAACAAACTTGCGCTGCGCAGGAATCTCAGGAATCTGCGTGCCTAATCCCAGTATTGTAAGTCTCATAGTTTCCGAGATCTCAGCGTTCATACGGACAGACGGACAGACGGACAGACGGACAGACGGACATGGCTAGATCGACTCGGCTAGTGATCCTAATCAAGAATATATATACTTTATGGGGTCGGAAACGCTTCCTTCTGCCTGTTACATACTTTCCGACGAATCTAGTATACCCTTTTACTCTACGAGTAACGGGTATAATAAATGGAATGTTCAACGAATGATTTCGTTTATGTAAATTAGTAGTTTAAAGCTTCCTTCTCGTCCCACGGATGCTTCGCCGTCTTTCCCGCTCCACCGCAGTACAGCTCCGAGTCCCAATAGGCATATTGGACCTTAACGGGGTTGATCCGCTAATGCTGCAGGAAGTCGCCCAGCATCCTGGCAGGGGCTTCTCCAACTGTTCCTTAGCGGGCGCCCTATTTTCCTCCTCCCTATAAAAGCCAGCGGCGCTTAAGCTGCCAAGTAGCTGGTGGTGGTGGTGTCCGGAGTCCTAATGGAGAGGTCGTCGGAGATCGTATTACTGGTGGTTCTGCTAAGAAGATACTTCTATTAGTAAAACGCAACCAAATTCTTTTGGCCAGATCTTACTTTCTTTGCGAGGACGCGGCCGGCAGAATGTCCATGTAGAGATCGAAGTCCCACTTGGCATGTTCCTTCCCACTGCGATTCCCTTGTGGATCTCCTCCAGCACTTCAACTATTCTGCGAAAGTGCATTTTAGTATTCGTCAGAAGTTATTAACGAAGAGAAGAAATACAAGTCATTTCGAAAGGCGTACAAAATATTTCGAAATCCCTTTGTACGATATATAGCACAAGCCTGTAGGTCAAGTATAGCTGTTTTTCTGCCAAACTAACGAGTTTTTTCTAAAAGTGGTAAAACTAAAGTTTCTTATATTAAGCTGTTTAACATCATCTTATATTTCCAGGACCTTTAAGTAGAGTTTGGATACGCACAAAAAAGGTCAATGCTCAGGCAGTGTAAGATCTTCTGAGCTTGACACACAGCAATGTCAAAAGTTGAGAACTCTTAATATACACCTTAAAACTTAATTTTATATCGTTAGAGCCGTTTTTGAGGAATCAGATGAAAAGCTAAAAAAAAACCTAATTCTAAAAAAACTTTGGCACATAATTTTGAACGGTGGTATTTAGACAAATTATGTTAGAAAGTATTTCAAAATACCTTAAAGACATATAGCAAAACCCTGTAACTTAAGCCTTAACTTAAGTGTTCAAAATTCAGCTACTTTTAGCTGTTTTCTCGCCAAAATAGCTAGTTTTCCAAAAGTGGTAGATCTTATGTTTTTAATATTGATCTATTAAGCATCGTCGAGAGTTTTCAGGACTTTAAAAAAACGATTTGGGACAAACTGGCAAACCAAATAACATTTTCAATTTGAGAAGTCTCCCAAAATCTTGTGTTGCGTATTACTTTTGAACGGATCATCCGATTTTGACAGTGAAGGTGTCATTTGACGCAAATTTTGAGTGAAAATACAAGAAAATTAATAGCGGAGTTATTTATACCCACGGGACCCAGCACTTTCACCGCTCTTTTTCCCAAACCAATTGATTTTTTTAAGTCTTGATATGCAATCCTCTTAGTCCTTGCAATACCTTTCGATTAATGTATCACTCGAAACAATCGGACTATTACAGTAAAATTTCATTTCTTCGTGTATATATAGTAGTCGCCCTTCAGTTCCAAAAAAAAAGTTTCTCTTGTGAATCACCTTGTAAATACCGCGGGTCACGTCAGCTTGCACGAGTGAAGAACAAGTGACACTCCATATAAGCAATTGTATGGGATGTCCGCTTTTTCACAAGTGAAAATTCCAATGAAAATTTTTCGAAGTCACTCATTTGTCGTATGGCCTGTCACCTGCCGGTGACACTTCACACGTGAAATCACTTGTGAAATTCAATATATTTCGTACAAGTTTTCAATTATAAAATCACTTGCAAGTGACACGTCCCACGTAAAATCACCTTTGAAATTCAGAATATTTCCAATGAGTTTTAACTTAATAAAATATAGAATTTAAGATGCATGCATTTTATTTACTTTTAAATTCATTTTAATTAAATTGTGTTACTGAGGTTTTTTGTTACACGACAATTATTGTTAGTAAGCCTAGTGTTATGTTTCGTCAATTTGTTTTTTACATTGGTCATCGCCTTCCTTAAACATTTGTTCGGGTCCTCCGAATCCTTGGCTTACGCTCCTGAAAAAATGTATGGGCATATGCTTAAAAAATGCGATGTACTATTTTATTTGTGTATTTACCTTTTAGAACTGTGTATAACCCTTTGCGGGACTTTTATTAGCACAAAACATTTCATCATCCATTTTCGGCTAACGGAACTCATAAAATACCTTCAAAATTTACGTACTTTAAACTAAGAAAATCTTAAACTTAATGTAACACTTACCTGTCTTTATTATTTTCGCTTTAAGAAAAGAAAACAGTAAATCTGATGCGCACAATTTAAATGGCTTGCTTCCCTTTCAATAACTGAAACAGAATGCACCAAGTCTTTCTCTCACCCCATTACTTGATTTCTTTTGTTTTCCTTTCGCTGTTGGCGCGTGCCACTGGACCTATACCCTTTCTAAAGCGAAATATATCCTACTATATGTATAATTTATACTTCTTGAGTATAAAATACAATACGATTTTTTTTAAAAAGCAATATTAAAATGTTTTAAATATTTAAATCAATTTGAACGGACTTAATTTCTTTTACTAAACTAAAACATTTTATTGTATTAATAGTATATAACACGTAAACATAACATAATAAGTAAATTCAATTTACCTAATTTACTTTTAAAAAACAAAACTAGTTGTTTTTTTCGAAATACAATATTTCGCTACTATACGAAAACTGTTTCGCCGAAACGGTAGTCGCTAGCAAAACATGAGAGCGTAGAGTGCAGGCAGATTATAAGACAAGAAAGAGAGGGAACCTCCGAGTATCTGCCTCTACGAGGGTGGTCCGATATGTACTTAGCCTCCAAAAGAAAAACAAAAATTTTGGAAATGTGGCGATTTATTTCTCAACAAAATCTAATTTTAGCTCGATACACTTAACCCAGCGATGCTTCAACTTCTTTAACCCGTCTGAAAAATACGCATTCTCGAGGTCTGAAAAATAGGCCTTTGTGGCGGCGACGACCTCCTCATTCGACGCAAAATTCTGTCCAACGAGTGACTTTTTCAAGTTTGGAAACAAAAAGAAGTCACACGGGGCCAGATCTGGAGAATACGGTGGATGGGGTAGCAGTTCGTAGCCCAATTCGACTAATTTGGCCTTGGCGAAAGCGGAAGTGTGAGCCGGTGCGTTGTCATGATGGAAGATCACTTTTTCTTCGCCAAATGGGGCCGTATTTTCTGCAGTTCGGCGGCGAATCGGCCCAATAATTCGGCATAGTACAGTCCTGTGACCGTTTTGCCCTTCTCCAGGTAGTCGATGTAGATCACACCTTGTGAATCCCAAAAAACGGTGGCCATCACCTTTCCGGCCGATGGGACAGTCTTCGCCTTCTTCGGAGCAGGTTCGCCGAGTGAAGTCCACTGTTTCGACTGTTCATTGGTTTCTGGTGTGTACCAGTGGATCCATGTTTCGTCGACGGTCACGAAACGACGCAGAAACTCCTTCGGATTGCATTTAAACAGCGGCAAACACTGCTCTGAAGTGGTCTCACGGTTGCGATTGTTGTCCGGTGTGAGCAAACGCGGCACCCATCGCGCCGAAAGCTTTCTCATGCCCAAAATTTCATGCAGGATATGACCCACGCGATCTTTTAACACGCCTACTGTCTCAGCTATCTCGCGGATCTTCAATCGGCGGTCTGCCAATACAAGGATCGTGGATTTTTGTCACGTTATCCTCCGTGGTAGCCGTTTTCGGGGCACCTGGGCGTGGCTCATCAAACTCATCATCACCACGTTAAAACTCGTTAAACCAATTTTTGACGATCGCCATCGAAGGAGAAGAGTCACCGTACAAGGCATCCAAGCGCTCTTTGATTTCGCTGCGCGATTTCCCTTCCAAAAACAAGAATCGAATCACAGACCGATATTCCTTTTTCTCCACTTTTTCTAAAATCCGCGGACACGTCCGATTCCACACGCAGTCAAAACAGAACAAGGAAGAACGCTATAGTCGAGTACCTCGACTATCAGATACCCGAAACTCAGCTAAATGGAGATATGCAAGCAGCAAAGCGAGATTAAAATGCGCCACTTACCGGCGGTAGACAGATTTAAACGTTACGGGCGGTAGAGTGGGCGTGGCAAATTTTTTTTGGATCAATCGATAAGTTTTGACTAGACCAATACATTTCAGTTATTTTTTATCTAGCATGAAAATTGTGGGCGTCACAGGTTTGGGCGGTTTGTGGGCGTTAAAGTGGGCGTGTGAAACTTTTTTTTGGGTCAATCGATAGGTATTGATGAGAACATTACATTTCAGTTAAACTTTTTATTCTAGCTTCAAAACTGTAGGAGCCATTGTTTTGGGCGGTTTTTGGGCGTTAGATTGGGCGTGGCACTCTGCTGAAACAAACTTGCGCTGCGTAAGAAGCTCAGGAACCTGCACGCCATCTTTCAATAGCCTAGCTCTTATAGTTTCCGAGATCTCAGCGTTCATTCGGACAGACAGACGGACAGACCGTCAGACGGACAGGCGGACATGGCTAGACCGACTCGGCTAGTGATCCTGATCAAGAATATATATACTTTATGGGGTCGGAAACGCTTCCTTCTGCCTGTTACATACTTTCCGACGAATCTAGTATACCCTTTTACTCTACGAGCAACGGGTATAACTTCGAGTCCGATTCGGCTAAAATTTCAAGAATGTACTAAACCAGGGGTCGGCAGCGGCCTATCTAGTGAGCATAGGGAAGTGTTCTGCCCATCCTCTGCTCGCTCACGTATAACGTACATGTTTGTGTGATTTCGGCATGGGTCTTCGGGTCATTTCTTTCTCAACTTCGGCGCGCTTTTTTGTTGCTGCGGCAGAGGAAATCAGTGCAAAGCAGAGAAACGTCTCGCTTCAGCACGCCGCGCGCAAACTTCGTGTTTGTTACTCTCACACTAATGCAAGGCAAACTTGTGATGGTATGTGTGTGCCGACTAACTAAACGATACAAAATTTCTCTTGCGATAGTGACGCCATCGGGCGGTGAGGCTAAGTTCTTATCGGACTGCCCTCGTATTTGTTGCACAACCGTTTTCGTAGGCAGTCTTCTACGCTGCGCCGGCTTCTCTGCTGATGCGCTTAAAATGGTTTCCTTAAGTCCAAAATTAGTTCATATTACCTTAATTAAGTAAATTTTTTGGGTTTTAAGTCCGTTTTTTTCTGGGTGTAGTAATACATACGTTTTCGACCAGCCAAGTTGCTATGTATTTAAAACTGTTTTTCAAAATGTAAAATGTTAAAAAAAAAAATTTTCTCAATATTATTCTTGTATGCAGTTCAACAGCCCAACTTGTCGCATCCATTTCATTTGCATGGATACGGGTTTAGTGTCATTGGAATTGGTCGATCCCCGGATTCGGCAGTGAAGAAGATAAATTTAAAGCACGCATTGGACCTGGACCGCCGCGGACTTTTACACCGGCAGTACAATTTGCCACCGACAAAGGATACAATTGCCGTACCGAACAACGGCTATGTTGTGCTACGTTTTAGAGCCGACAATCCTGGTAAGTATAAATATTCCTAAATGAGTGCGTATTTCTCTGAAAAGCTGACCACTTAAAAACAATTAACACAGGACAACAAAATTAGTCTTACATTTTAGTCTTTGCTTACTTAGCTTTCATTCCTAACGCGTGGTATTTTTGATATCGCAGTTTGTAGTTTCCGATGTATTTAAAGTAAAATAAACATTTTTTGCATTTTCAGCAAGCATCAAAAATAAAGTTTTTTAAGAGGATCCTATAAAGTATGTATGTTTATTCTTGATCAGTCACTAGCGAAGTCGAACTAACCTTGTCCGTCTGTCCGTATGATCTCAGTGATAATCAAAACTTGAAGATATTTGTTATCTAACTTTTACAAGCCGCATACAACTGTGGGGCCCAGAGTTTTGAAAATAGAATACAAATTTTAACTGAAATGTATTGGTTTCGTCAAATGACCTAACAATAATTGTCTAATCTAACGCCTACAAACCGACAAAAACCGTCTGTCCGTATTACTGTATTTTGTTTGACTTAAAAAAAAATCGGCCACGCCCATAAAACCTGCCTGGCGCCTAAATTTTTATAGATTTTGTAAGAGTGCAAATGGGATTTCGTTTTGTATAACAATACTAAGTGTTCAAATCGGATTATTCGTAAAGAATTGACCAAATAATTAAATGACCGTTTAGTGGCGCCCGCAACCTAAGATTGCTGCTGGTATACCTCCATCTCCCTTGCGATCATTTGTAATGGTTATCGGATAGTCGAGGAACTCGTAAATAGTCATATTCCTTGTTTTGTTTTTTTAAAACAAGAAAGAACGCTATAGTCGAGTACCTCGACTACCAGATACTCGTTACTAAGGTAAAGAGACAAAAGGGAAATGGAGATATGCAAGCAGCAAAGCGAGATTAAAATGCGACACCTACCCGCGATCTTAATAAATGGTTATGTGGGCGGTAGACAGATTTAAGAGTTATGGGCGTGGCAAACTTTTTTGAATCAATCGATAGGTATTGACGAGACTAATACATTTCAGTTAAAATTTTTTACCTAGCATGAAAATGGGCGTTCGAGTGGGCGTGGCCTATTCGCGTAGTAAACTTGCGCTGCGCATAAGCCTATTCGCGTAACAAACTTGCGCTGCGCATAAGGCTACGAAATCTAAATCTGAAATCCCAATTCTTTATCTTTAATAGTTTTTGAGATATCCGCGTTCATATTTACGATTTTTGAAGTTCGTGGGCGGTTTGTGGGCGTTAAAGTGGGCGTGGCAAACCTTTTTTTGGTTCAATCAATAGGTATTGATGAGAACAATACATTTCAGTTTTTTTTATTCTAGCACCAAAACTGTAAGAGCCACAGTTTTGGGCGGCTTGTAGGCGTTAGAGTCAGACAGATGGACAAATGGGCATGGCTAGATCGACTCGGCTAGTGATCCTGATCAAAAATATATATACTTAATGGGGTTAGAAACGCTTCCTTCTGCCTGTTACATTCTTTCCGACGAGTCTAGTATACCCTTTTACTCTACGAGTAACGGGTATGAAAACCGGAAAACTTTTAAGAAAAACTTGTTTTTACGTTGCTGGTTTTTCTGAGAATGGCCCATTTATACTAAATACTTTAATATTAAACGTTACCTTTTCTAGGCTTTTGGCTCTTCCACTGTCATTTTCTATTCCACATTGTTATTGGAATGAATTTGATTTTACAGGTAGGCAGTAACGTTGATCTGCCACCCGTGCCTCCAGGTTTCCCAACATGTGGCGACCACACTCCACCCATTCCAATAAACTAAGATTAAATCGTGACGAAACACCCTTAATCTAATCCACGTGGCAAAGCATTTTAAACGAGCAACACAATTTCTTAGGAGCTAGAAAAGACCTACACACTTATTGAACAATTTGTAAAAAGCTTACCCTATCACACTGTTTAACAAAATTGTATATACTTTTATTAAAATATCACATAGTATAGTTTTCCTTTTCAGTAATGAAAACATTGTCAATGTCCAGCTGTTATTATTGACATATTATTTAAAGGAATATTAACCCTTTCCCTTACTTTTTACCCACAGCTTACCGTCAAATGTATATAGATAATAATATGTGTGTGTTTGTAGATACTAAAATTGTAATACAATTATTTAATTTATGAAAAACGTTTATTTTCAACTGATATGTTTGAAATGACTGCAAGCAACCGAGCACTTCCTTTTTTTGTATATGCACATAAATTTTAAAACATTTTCAACTATATAGTAGCATACCCACTGCTTATATATCTTCATATGCAAATATTTTGTTGTGCTAAAAATAACAGCAGTATAATTAATAATTCAATATGTTATTCCTAGTTAAATGTTTGAAATAAATAAATATGTTTATATTTTCTCGTAAAAAATTAACTTAACTGAAAAAAAAACAAAAATGTTGGTATCATTAAAAAAAAAATATTAGCAGTCCTAAAAAACATTTAAAAGTTATTCCCATGTTGTTGTGTCATTCCTTATAAAAGTAAGTTCACTAAAAAAATATAAAAGTGTTGGTATCAGTTTAAAAAATTCTTGAAATATTGGAAATGATTTGTTTTCCTAGGGACAAACATTGCAAAAACACGCCTGGAGACATTTAGTTTTTCGCACTGAATTTATAACAGAAAGGCGGAGTGGATTGCAACAAATACAATCTGAAGCGGAAGATTATTGCAACGCCAATTTGTACCACTACAGTGGTCGAATGGCGATACGCCTGCGTAAACTTTGCTGTGTATTTATTTTGTGTGATTGGCACGTAATCATCTACTATAAAAGCTAAACTCATAATTCGTACCTATACCATTTCACCATGTTAATGAAGCATTAAAACCAGAAGCGACCAATAAAACCGGAATTGTGTTACATAATGAATCCAGACCACAGGCATCATTAGGGCTCGCTAGAACCTCAGGGATCGTGGTTGAATGACTCCTATGCATCTTTGTTATGGATCCCTAGAGATAAAAATTCAGCTGGTATTAAATTTGGGAGAAGTTAAATTAGACTTTCAAAGTTTTTTAAACAATTTTATTTTAAATGCTAGTAAACATAAATACTACTTTTGCATTGAACACACATGTTTCGTAATTTCTTAGACTATGTATCTGCACTGTTCATCTGTTCTGGGTTTTAAAAATAAAATTCATATATCGTAGCATTATCAAGTTTTTTGCGTTTTACTTATCAAAACGCCACTAAAATCCCCAAAGACTTTTTTTGGATCACAAAACGACAAACTTTTTCTTGCATTTGAAAAGTAAAAGTTTTTATACAATATAGAGTCTATTGATTCTTATTGATTCATTTATAGTACATTGTATTCATTATATTAATATTGAAGGACGCACTATATAAAGTATATATATTCTTGATCGGGATCACTGTCAAGTCGATCCAGCCATTTTTATCCGTCCATCTGTCTGTCTGTCCGTATAGACGCTGAAATGTCTAAAACTATAATGTCTTGAAGGTTGGAATTAAGCATACAGATTATAGGGGCTTTTAAGCAGCACAAGTTGGTTACTAGGGTCTGAAGGGATACGCAAACGCAATATTATTTGAAATCTTATGAATAACTAAATTAATAGGTTAAAAAGAAATTGCTTGGTCAGAAGTAACCCTACACTCAGCTAGGTGTTGCCATCGTCTAGGTGGCGCACCAATATAAATGCCATGTAATTATATATTAAAAGTGGTCAAAAGACTATAAGCTGTTTCTTGTTAAAGTTAGTTAGCTGAGTAATGAGTATCAGATAATCAAGGCACTCGACTATACATTCTCTCTTGTTGTGCATTGCCACAATAACAAGAGCCAGTGATGGACGTATTGAATATTTAACAAAACCCTGACTTTTGGCTCGAGCAACTGACAATGTACTATTCAGTTTCGATGGGACAAAATATAAGCGTAAAAGAGATTACCGTGCACTGATGATGACTGATGGGTAGGCGACAATCGGGAACAGCATGTGGAGCAGCAGACGCCTGTGGCAAGCTGTGGAAAGTAGATTTGCGCGGAGTCGACCGGTCATCTGTTCACAATAGCTGATAGTTTGTTTACTGAACATCCGGACAGTTGTTTTTATACCCTTGCAGAGGGTATATTGATTTCAGACAGAAGTTTGCAACGCAGTGAAGGAGACGTTTCCGACCCCATAAAGTATATATATTTTTGATCAGCATGACTAGACGAGTCGATCTAGCCATGTCCGTCTGTCCGTCCGTTTCTACGCAAACTAGTCTCTTAGTTTAATAGGAATCGGGCTGAAACTTTCCCAAAAGTCTTATATCTTTTGCAGGTAGTATATAAGTCGGAACCAGCCGGATCGCACAACTATATCTTATAGCTCCCATAGGAATAATCGGAAAAAATTATATCTTTGGTGTTTTTTAACATATAACCTCCTAAGCTCGGAAATAACATATTTTAATTAGTTTTGAATTTCGAATTTAATTTTATCAAAATCGGACGACTATATCATATAGGTGCCATAGGAACGATCGGAAAATTGGTGGGAAAATAATATGAAACAAACTATAGCTTCGGTGTTTTTTAACATATCACTTTCTACGCTTGAAAATAACATTTTTTAACTAGTTCTGAATTTCGAATTTAATTTTATCAAAATCGGACGACTATATCATATAGTCGGAAAAATTGGTGGGAAAATAATATGAAACAAATTATAGCTTCGGTGTTTTTTAACATATAATCTCCTACGCTTGGAAATAACATTTTTTAATTAGTTCTGAATTTCGAATTTAATTTTATCATAACCGGACGACTATATCATATAGCTGCCATAGGAACGATCGGAAAATTGGTGGGAAAATAATATGAAACAAATTACAGCTTCGGTGTTTTCTGACATATATACTATTGGGAATACCATTTTTTGTATTTTTAATTTTAATAAATATAACTGCAAGGGTATACAAGCTTCGGCTTGCCGAAGTTAACTTCTAACTTTGGTTTAGGAAATAAAAATCAATGAAATACTTCGAACCAATGTTTTATCTTGGTTAGATTTCGTCAACTACGCATATGAAATAATAAATTTCATTTAAACTCGCTTATCTTATACCTTGGTCTGCAATTATTTTGAAATTTCTTGGTATCCATTTAAAGACGTTATGTTTTTATACTCGTTTCTCGTAGAGTAAAAGTGTATAAAAAGGTTCGTCCGAAAGTATGTAACAGGCAGAAGGAAGCGTTTCCGACCCCATAAAGTATATATATTCTTGATCAGGATCACTAGCCGAGTCGATCTAGCCATGTCCGTCTGTCTGTCAGTCCGGATGAACGCTGAGATCTCGGAAACTCTAAGAGCTAGGCTATTGGGATTTGGCATGCAGATTCCTGAGCTTCTTACGCAGCGCAAGTTTGTTTCAGCAGCGTGCCACGCCACTTGAACTCCCACAAACCGCCCAAAACTGTTTTGATCGTAGAGTAAAAATTTTAACTGAAATGAATTGTTCTCATCAATACCTATCGATAGACCGAAAAAAAGTTTAGCACGCCAACTCTAAGTGCCCTCGACTTTAGCGTTCTTCCTTGTTTTAAAGTTTAAAACTTAAATAATTCTGACAAAAATCAAATATGGTTATCTCGGGAACGGCTTGGACGAATATTGTATAACTTTGCACGATGCTTTACAAGTGCAAATCAAGAATCATTTAAAAGCTTTGTACCGCTTTAAATATTTCAAAGTCGTATTAAAAATTACTGATTGTACGGCAAATTGCAGTATTAATTGCCAACCATTTGTACCTATTTAAAAGTACATTTTTAATCAGCTACTTAGCTAATGTTATTTTAGCTTTAACGTTAACAGTACAGTGACCATGCTTTATCCAAACAAATCCGTGTCAATGTCATCACTATCCGTCTTTTTCTAAGCCTTTAGTGAGTGAACCAAATAATGTCGCGGAATAACACCTTTAACAAGTTCACTACGCATATATAAACAGAACATGGTGTGTTTTTTGATTCCGTTAAAAAAATTCTATTGCGTTTAGGGGTTCCCGACTCAGCAAAATGTTCACGTTTGGATTGTGTTATTTTCTATGCGTACGATAGCAGCTGGTAATCATATATTTTCACCTTTCGAAATAAAATTGTGCAGCGTCAGCTGTTTAGCAATAGTTGTTGTTAACTAGAGCCACTTCATGAAGTCATTTTCGAAATAAATGCTCCTTAATTGATTTTGTGATGGTGGTATATATTGTTTTTATTTGCAAACAAGGTACAACTTAAGTTTAAAAAGTATTTTAAAAAGCTTTTCAAATTTCAAACTTTTTGTTTTTTTTTTAATTCCTGGCCAAATTTGCACTCATATCTCAAAAGATTTGCACCTGTAAATAAATAAAATTCAGATTATTTTAAGAAATTGTACAAAATGTACTTTGTTCCACTACCGTTTGTTTGTGACAAGCGACAACTGTTCACAGAGGTTTTTCCCAATAAAAAAACTTATGATGATTTTTACAATGTGTTCTATTCACAGATTCTTAACCCTTTGGATGCTATTTGTGATCGTAAACGGCCGGATGCAGTTTGTGTTTCGAATTTAAAGAATGCAAAAAAAGTCGACAAGGGCGTTTTGGTAGAACGCCCAGATGTAAAAATATTTTTGCCTTTCAGATTTTATGTGTATGAACCAAAAACTCTATTTATACCAAATACCTACAACCGATTTTTAGGTACGTGTACTATAATTGGTAACTAAAATAATATCCTTTGCATTGACTAACAGTTTTTTATTATAAGAACACATATGATTTTTTTTACAAACCGAATGGATTTCTGTACTAATATTTGTTATTTGACTCATGTTGCTAACACAGTGAAGGAGACGTTTCCGACCCCATAAAGTATATATATTCTTGATCAGCATCACTAGACGAATTGATCTAGCCATGACCGTCTGTCCGTCCGTTTCTACGCAAACTAGTCTCTCAGTTCTAAAGCTATCGGCCTGAAACTTTCCCAAAAGTCATATTTCTTTTGCAGGTAGTATATAAGTCGGAACCAGCCGGACCGGAACTATGTCTTATAGCTCTCATAGGAATAATCGCAAAAACATTTTTTAAAATAATTTCTTTGGTGTTTTTTAACATATTAACTCTTGGATATAACATTTTTAATTAGTTCTGTATTCCGAATTTAATATTATCAAAGTCGGACGACTATATCATATAGCTGCCATTGGAACGATCAAAAAATTGGTGGGAAAATAATATGAAACAAATTATAGCTTCGGTGTTTTTATACCCGTTACTCGTAGAGTAAAAGGGTATACTAGATTCGTCGGAAAGTATGTAACAGGCAGAAGGAAGCGTTTCCGACCCCATAAAGTATATATACTCTTGATCAGGATCACTAGCCGAGTCGATATAGCCATGTCTGTCTGTCCGTCTGTCCGTGTGAACGCTGAGATCTCGGAAACTATTAAAGCTACAATACTGGGACTAGGCATGCAGATTCCTGAGATTCCTGCGCAGCGAAAGTTTGTTTCAGCAGGGTGCCGCGCCCACTGTAAGTCCCGTAAACCTCCCAAAACTGGTGCTCCTACAGTTTTGATGCTAGAATAAAAATTTTAACTGAAATGTATTGTTCTCATCAATACCTATCGATTGACCCAAAAAAAGTTTGCCACGCCCACTTTGACGCCCACTTTGACGCCTACAAACTTCAAAAAATCGTAAATATGAACGCGGTTATCTCGAAAACTATCAAGGATAGAGAATTGGGATCTAAGATTTAGATTCTGTCTACCGCCCACACAACCATATATTGTGATCAGGGGTACGTAGCGCATTTCAATCTCGCTTTGCTGCTTGCATATCTCCATTTCCCTTTTGTCCTTTAAGCTTAGTAACGGGTATCTGATAGTCGAGGTTCTTGACTATAGCGTTCTTTCTTTTTGACATATTATCTTATACTATTGGGAATAAAACTTTTAGTATTTTTAAATTTAATAATTATAACTGCAAGGGTATACAAACTTCGGCTTGCCGAAGTAAACATTCTTTCTTGTTTTATGTGTTTTTTCCACATTTTTTTTAATTTTTTGGTGCTAGAGTGAACGTGGCACACTTCTGTTGTAAACGTGGGCTGTAAAGGCGTACCTAGAATATGTAAGCTCAATACCAACTTTCTAGCATTTATAGTTCCTACGATGTCGGCTAGTGTTTCGATTATTAAGTTATATACTTTTAAGGGCAGAAAACGGTTGCATATATTTCAAAAAGTAACTACCGGAGAACATGAAATTAGAAAGGATTTCGGTTGTAAGACATTGACTTTAATATCGAATTGGGTATTCACCACAAAAAGACACCATTAACCCTTTCCTTTATTTATAGTTGTGCCTAGTGGGGATCATCTGACATCTTTGGTCGATGAAATATCATACATATCACCACCGGCACCTCCGCTTTCACAAATCGATGACATTCCGACCGAATACTTCTGCAACGGTGACAATAGGCCGCCAAATTGTGGGCCAAACTGTGAATGTACACACATGGTTGATATACCACTTGGAGCTATTGTTGAAGTTGTTTTGGTCGATGAAGTGCAGCAAGTCAATCTTAGTCATCCATTTCATTTACATGGTACGGCCTTCTATGTGGTAGGACTAGGACGTTCGCCTGATAAGTCAATAAAAAAAATTAACCTGAAGCATGCTCTGGAGTTGGACCGAATGGGCATGCTTGAGCGAGATTTTTCGAAGCCCCCTCTTAAAGACACAATAGCCGTACCCAACAATGGATATGTTGTTGTGCGGTTTCGAGCAGACAATCCTGGCTATTGGCTTTTCCATTGCCACTTTCTTTTTCACATCGTCATAGGAATGAACCTCATATTTCATATCGGAACGTCAGCTGACCTACCACCAGTCCCTCCACGATTTCCTAGATGTGGCGACCATGTGCCGCCAGTTACTTGGTACTAGTCCGCTGTCATAGATATTAAGTAAAACCCTAGTAATGTAATATGTAATACTTAAATTAATATAACTTATTACCTTCATTTAGTTAAACCTATTTTAAAATGAAAAAATAGTGTGTAAAAAGTATTTTATTTTGTTACGATTTAACTCTTACGCAATAAAATTTTCTTACAAACAGAAACTAACTAGTAATAACACTTTATATAAATGTATTGTAATCACAAAATCAATTTTAAATTTATAGTCGCTTCAGACGCTGATCACCTTATATCACTTATTGATGAGGTGTCGTACATTTCTCCACCTTCCCCGATGCTGTCGCAGTATAATGATATACCTCAAGAATACTACTGTAATGGGGACAATCGACCAGTAGATTGTGGCGAAAACTGTCAGTGTACTCATAAAATCGATATACCTCTACACGCAATAGTCGAGGTCGTGCTTGTGGATGAAGTTCAACAGATTAATATAAGCCATCCATTTCATTTGCACGGTACGTCTTTTTACGTAGTAGGACTTGGACGCTCCCCGGAAACACACAACAAACGTATGAGCTTAAAACATGCCCTGGACCTTGACCAACGCGGCTTGCTTGAAAGGCAATACCTGAACCCTGCTCTGAAGGATACTGTTGCTGTACCAAACAATGGATATGCTATTTTACGCTTTCGCGCAGATAATCCTGGATTTTGGCTTTTTCATTGTCATTTTCAATACCATATTGTTATAGGCATGAATTTGGTGTTTCAAATAGGTACTCCTAATGATCTTCCTCCTGTACCACCTAATTTTCCACGTTGCGGAAACCATGTACCCCCCATATTGACGGAGAGCCTATTTAACATTGATAACATACAAGAAAGATCGGAGACCAGATAATGTAGTAAAATATAAACAATAGGCGATACGTCTGAAGGTTGGGACACATAAGGTAACTTTAGAAAATTTTAACTTTAAGTGACCAAATGGCAACTTCCAAAATCTTCCAATCTTTAACTTGTACATTTGAAAGTCAATAAAACTTACCCCTAAGATTCTCAAAACTTAAAAAATATTTTTTTTTTATTAATTTGATCAATTTTAGTTGGTGTACAATTGCAAATTAAACTAACATGCTATTTAAACGCACATATTTCCCTGTAAATTTAAAGAAATTTATCTCTTCCAAAGCGTCCTCTGTCGGCTTAAGTTTTTCTGTATGAAAAGCGGGTGTACCAACTTATACGCTCAAAGTGATCTAGCTTACCACAAAATAGGAGTTTAAAAAAAAAGTATAATGTTTTTGATAAATCAATCATTTGATCAGTCAATTTATTACTATGGATATTTTTAAGAACTTACCATCTTATATATAATACCTTTATCCAATAATTTAGCATGTTATCGACTTTTTATAGAATTAAGAACAAGAAAAATGCTATACTCGATGCCATCGACTATCAAGTACCCGTTACAAAGCTAAAAAGAGTGTGATGGAGAAAATAGTTTGTGTCTAACCGATGTAAGGTCTATGATCGCGTCGCGGCAAAGCAACGAGAGTTACTGTGATATGGGAATACGGGCGATATGAGAAGTGCGCTCGGGGTGAGCTAACGAGGGTTAACTACTAGTTGAGATATTTTAACAGTTCGAGCCCGAGGACAAGTCGACTTGATTCGCAAGGTAAGTCAGAGAGTTGTCGAGTCAACCGTTCACTTTATGTATAATAATATGCTGATCAGCAATTCTCATATGCAGTGGGTGCAACTAGTCGCCTGGTTCTGGTCCCAACTTGGGTACTGCTTGATTTGTGGGGTGTCGGTTACGATCAACTACTGTCATAGTTTAAACCTGACTTGAGCCTGGCCTTAAATTCTTTTACTAAAAGTTTACTAACTAAAAAAATGGCACTCATTTTCGGTCGAAAATATCTGAAAAAGTGTCCCAACTTACACACCTCTTTTAATTTAGGAATCATATTCGATTTTAATCAAATCTCAAAACAGTTTATGACTGTTTATAGTATATAAGACCTTTCGTAAGTTTTACCACACAGAAGTTATCCCGTCTCGATTCACCTATCAATATTTTACCACTAATTTCTTTTATATGTTAACTCATTTTGAATTTAAGTAAAAAAAAATAAGAATGTATATTTTATATTTGTAATAAATAGTCTATTGAAACATTAAATTTATCGCAACTCTAAAAGAATTTTATATTGTGGTAGTGAACTGAGTATAGTGAACTTTTGAAGCAAAGCTGAAACCTTTAATAATTTTTCATCTATCGTTTTTTTTTCTGTAGATATAAGCATAAAAGGTGCATCAAATAAATTATCTTTTGTTGGTGAGTTTCTTGATTAAAGGATCATTCTTTTCTTTAATATGATAAAAGTTAAGTTAAAATGTTAAGATGACCGCTTTAAAATTGGAGTACGCTTGAAATATTCACTCATTTGGCACACGGGTTCGCCATACGAGAGTTAGTCGTAGACTTATTGGTAAACAGAAGAATTTACAGCGCTGTTACGTGTTATTCAGCAATTTAATGTTTACATTAACCAAATCAGAGTTGGATAACTGAAATTGCTATTACGTTTATTGGAGAGAAAGAGAGAGGGAAAAAAACGATAAATTGCTTAAATTTTTAATTATTTAATATACTCGTTATAAGTCAGTGCTCTCTCCTAGCACCGGCAGCGCTTTTCGCTTTGCCGCGCACTTCGGTCTGCAACTATTTACACACACACATCCATAAAAACATTTGATATTGTACGGTTCTGACGTCATTGCGTTTCTTCTTGAGAGGTTTGTAGGTGTTAAATTTGTTTTTCTAGCATCATAATTGTTGGCGCCACAGTTTTGCGAGGTTTCTGGGCGTGAGAGTAGGCGAAGCACATAAGCGTATCGAACTTGCTATGAGTACGAAACTAAAGAATCTACATCTAAAGTACCAACCATGTATCCTTAATAGTATCCGGGACACCAGCGTTCAAATGGACGGTTTTTTAAGTTTGTGGGCGGCTTGTAGGCGTGGCAATATTTTTTTTGGGTCAATCGATGGGTATTGACGAGAACAATACATTTCATTTAAAATTTGTTCTAAACAATACTTGTAGGGTACAATACACGCACGCACGCATAAAGGTTTTGGCTGTACGTTGTTTATTGTTCGCATGTATATAACGTAAATAGCGGCAGAATTCCAAAATTTACTGGCCAGCCTCTCTTTAATGCACGTCTGCCATTTCGCTCGCACGATCTGCGCCGCGGCGACTGAACATCTGGCAAAAATCAGTGTGAGCGACGAGACGACGGAAAGTACAACTTACGAAGTCGGACCGTACAGCTGAAGGTTTGCGACACTGGTTTTGCTAGGAATTTTGCACAGAGCAAAGCCGTTAAGAAATTCAGTAGCAAACTAGCACCAGTTTTTATAAAATCAAAGGTAATCAAGAAAGTTAGCCCGGCATACTATGAACTAGCAACCGAGAAAGGCAAATCGATAGGTATATACCATCTTAAAGGTATTCAAATTGGCAAATAGACAAGTCGTCATTTAAGCTAACAGCTTTTTGGGATTTGATTCTCCATCTGTTAACTGTGGGTGTAAAGTACAATACACGCACGTATAAGGGTTAAGTTTTTGGCTGTACGTTGTTTCTTGTTCGCATGTATATAACGTAAATAGCGGCAGAATTCCCGAATTTACTGGCCAGCCTCTCTTTACTGCACGTCTGCCATCTCGCTCGCACGATCTGCGCCGCGGCAACTGAACATCTGGCGAAAATCAGTGTGAGCGACGAGATGACGGTAAATATCACGCCATAACGCCGTTATTTTCCGTCTCTGCGTTCACTTGAGTTTCTCTCGCTGAGGCCAAGAGACGTGTGCCAAACACCGTAGTCAAGTTATAATTGGAACCAAGTCCGCGTGTAAACTGACTGACAAACGGTACCAAAGTGCGACGAGGTCCAACGACATCCTGTACAGTGTTAGCAAAAATGAACAGTGCGAAACCATAGTCTGAGGTGAATATCGTTAGTAGTTTTTCTCGGGGACTGGTCAGGTTATATCGGAAATGTTTATGTTTCAGAACCCACCCCCCGCAATCGATCTTTCAACCGGCGCTAAGTTCCTGCCACACGGTGTATTCTGGCGCTAATATCGTCAAACGATTGCAGAGCGGGGGTGGCTCTTAGGACCGTGGTCGGTTGCCGGCAATTTTCTGCCGAATTTTCTTCGAATTGGCCATGAAGGTAGCCATGTGTAGCTGGGTGTACCCCGCTACCTAAACAAAACTAGGGCACGAGGCCTAAATAACAGAAGACATCGGCCGCACAGCTGCTGTATGCTCAGCGGCGGTAACCTTTCGTTGTTTTTAGTTCTCCTTTTTCTATTCGCTGTATTTAAATAGTTTTGCATAAATGTACTTGTACAAGATTTCTAACCATAGTTTTAAATACGTCCATTGGGTGTAAAGCTTCCTATGTAAGCTCCTGCTTCGAAGTTAAGGTTGTAAACATCACACATATACATATACCACATGTTCTAATCTACCCTCAAGGAATCAACGACAGCTTCATTGGGCCCAACGAACGCTTCTATGGATTTTTCCTAAGAAAAAGTACCGCTTGTGGATAAACCCTTAATGAATATTGTATGAACAAGTTTGTCCCCTAGTCGATGAGATTCCCGCAATAGCGGAAACCTCTTGCGTAATTTAATTATTTAACTTGAGTTACGCACCGTTTTGAAGTCGAAATGATTTGATATATTTATATATATTTGAAAAGATATGTAAATCTTGAAGTATAGCCAATAAGTAAACACCATCCTGTGCTAAGATTATCCAAAACAACCTTTAAAGGGTATGTTAGAGCGTAACGTTCGTAAACTCATGAAATAATGGAAAAGTATGAAGTCTCTGAATAACGCAACGAAATGATCGTGTAATTTATATTTCTGAATAGATCGTCACCGGAACTACATAATGTTTCAGGGGTATTAAACAAAGTTAAGGGGTAACCTAATAAATGTAAAAGTTACCAAGGAAGGGTGGGGGCAAACAACGTCCAAGTCTCTCTAATCCTTGATCGTTTGAAAATCTGTTTTTCTTAGCGTAAGCTGTGGGTATAGCCGATTACAACAATTAAGGTACACCTTTATACTAGTTTCAGATAGTGCCCTTATTTTCTTGTTTTGTGTTGTGGTATAGCTGAAAGAGAAAGAACCCACGCCAGTCAGACGAGCATAGCACAGAGCATCGCTAAAAGTGCACGACCACCACGACCAGCATACCGAGAAGCGACTTGAGAACCAGTAGGATTCGAGTTGAATGCTACATAGTAGGCATTATAAAAACAGAAATGGCTCCCATAACGTGGGGCCCGATCGTTCAGATCGGGAGAATGAAAAATTCCCGCGAAAATCGGACTCTAACACCATCCAGTTATTTTCTGTTTTTTTGTAGAACACAATTTTTTAAAGTAACGTCCTGCGAGGAAAAGCCAATTTGTCCTGTGGAAAAGCGTATAGAGGTCCCAAACCAGGCAAAGCAATTCCCGTGAAGGAATACGTTACTTAAGAAAAATTAAATTGTAGGTTTCAAGTATTGCAGGGTAGTACTAGATCATATCTTGGAACTGTAGTGTAGTTGAGTATATCACGGACTAACTAACCGGAATGAGCTACACATCACCTAAAAAATATAAACTTTCAATAGTAATTCCTCCGCGAATCGATGTGCACGGAGAAAGCAACCACCTAAGTAGTTAAGGGTTGACCAGCCGTCGAAATTCAGGGAGTCCATAGTCATATAAACTCGGTCATAGGAATAGCAGAGCCAATCGAATCAAGGAAATTAATATGCCTCATAAGCAGAATGTTGTAAAGGTGACTGTTTACGTCAAAAGGGCGTTTAATTTCAGGAGGCAGTGTCGAGCGGCAGTTTTATCCAGATGTCTACATCTCGCGCGCTCGCACTGCCGTCCGCTCTCCCTCCCCATCTCTCCCTTAAGTCTCCGCTCTGCTCTGGAGCGCTTAAGTTAAGTTAGGCTTAAGCAGTTCATGTTTCAAAGTGTACGAATAAACACCTACGCACGTCGCGTAAAAACCCCAAAAGTACTCCCGTGTTTTTTGGGTACCACTCAATCTTGGGGCTTCAATTATTTCATCGATCAAGCCGCACCGCCCTAACATTTTGGTCCTTCGAGCCGGATTTTAAAAACTTTGGACTTTCCTCTCCTGGAGTTTCCTTTGATTCTGATCGCAGCAGGCTTGAAACACTCCAGATAAGTTCCGCTTACTATAATTGCCGGTCATACAGCCAGTTTTTCGAACCCTATTTCGACTAACTTTCTGTATGATATATTGTCTAAATCCAAAAGAGATTAATCCGACGCAACGGCATTTAATATATGTATTTCAATTCCGTTACTTGTGCCCGACAATATTCCAGTTTCCTTTGCCCACAGTTGCACACTTGAAACAATTCCAGTAAATATTTCAGTGCTACTATTCAACGAAAATATTTGTCAAATATATTTTCAATTCCAATCGTGTGTAAAATATAACTCAGCCGCAGTAAAAAATTCCCGGTCATAAAGATTGTACTTAAGATTTGCACTCTTTATTATACCCGTTACTCGTAGAGCTTCCTACGCAGCGCAAGTTTGTTTCAGCACAGTGCCACGCCCACTCTAACGCCCACAAACCGCCCAAAACTGTGGCTCCTACAGTTTTGATGCTAGAATAAAAATGTTAACTGAAATATATTGTTCTCACCAATACCTATCGATTGACCCAAAAAAAAGTTTGCCACGCCCACTTTAACGCCCACAAACCGCGAAAACCTGTGACGCCCACAATTTTCATGCTAGATAAAAAATTTTAACTGAAATGTATTGGTCTCGTCGATACCTATCGATTGATCCAAAAAAAAATTTGCCACGCCCACTCATACGCCCATAACGCTTAAATCTGTATACCTCCGGTAGGTGGCGCATTTTAATCTCGCCTTGCTGCTTGCATATCTCCATATAGCTGAGTAACGGGTATCTGATAGTCGAGGTACTCGACTATAGCGTTCTTCCTTGTTATACCCGTTACTCGTAGAGTAAAAGGGTATACTAGATTCGTCGGAAAGTATGTAACAGGCAGAAGGAAGCGTTTCCGACCCCATAAAGTATATATATTCTTGATCAGGATCACTAGCCGAGTCGATCTAGCCATGTCCGTCTGTCCGTCTGTCCGTCTGTCCGTCTGTCCGTATGAACGCTGAGATCTCGGAAACTATGAGACTTACAATACTGGGATTAGGCACGCAGATTCCTGAGATTCCTGCGCAGCGCAAGTTTGTTTCAGTAGAATGCCACGCCCACTCTAGCGCCCACAAACCGCCCAAAACTGTGGCTCATACAGTTTTGATGCTAGATAGAAAATTTTAACTGAAATGTATTGTTCTCATCAATACCTATCGATTGACCCAAAAAAAAGTTTGCCACGCCCACTTTAACGCCCACAAACCGCGAAAACCTGTGTCGCCCACAATTTTCATGCTAGATAAAAAATGAAATGTATTGTTCTCATCAATACCTATCGATTGGTCCAAAAAAAAGTTTTCCAGGCCCACTTTACCGCCCACAAACCGCGAAAACCTGTGACGCCCACAATTTTCATGCTAGATAAACAAATTTAACTGAAATGTATTGGTCTTGTCAATACCTATCGATTGGTCCAAAAAAAAATTTGCCACGCCCACTCTAACGCCCATAACGCTTAAATCTGTATACCGCCGGTAGGTGGCGCATTTTAATCTCGCTTTGCTACTTGCATATCCCTATTTAGCTGAGTAACGGGTATCTGATAGTCGAGGTACTCGACTATAGCGTTCTTCCTTGTTTTTTACTGTGTTCCTGCTGCGTGTGTATATTTACATAAATATTCTAATACAGTCCACTCTAACTACTCTTTCTAATACAGTCCACTCCAACTACTTTTCTCGACCTACAAATACGGCTAAACTATTTCTAAAATTAAAAACAAAGTGACAATATCCACAAATTTACTCCAGCAAATCGTTTGCAATTTAGTTGTGCAGGTGACAAACAAACGCACCGACACACAAACATAAGCGAAGTCTTTCCCATTCCCGCAACGTTATTCTGCTACTTGCAATCCACATATGTACACACATACATACGTATATCGATACCTTTGCCAGTGCACAGTGGGTCAAGAGCTCACAATAAATGTTCCTTCCAAACATACAATATTAAAGTCCGTAATTCTTTACATAAGTCCGACCATCCGATATAATAAATATTTATTGACTCTGCCTATCCGACAGTGTGACCGTATATATTTACAATCTTAATTGGTTCCTAAATTCCAATTTGATTCCAATCCGTTTCCTTACTTCTGAATTAAAATTCTAAATTATTTAACGTCATGGCAACATCAGTAAAATCCGCTTTAACCCGACTTATGGCCACAGCTGACTGTCTGATTCACTTTGAGGCCACTGTGAACGCTCCAGGTGCTCTTACCCCAACGTTATCCGCCTATAAAATCCGTCGCGATCACCTCAATTCCTTGTGGCAAACGGTAAAGGCAGCATACGACATATGCTCCGACTGCATTATAGTTGCAGGCGAGAGCGCCGCAGAAACAAAATCCATACTAAAGTCCAAGTATTACCAAACGTACTCCACTTATGAAATATTTGCCGCGCAGCTGATGGAACAAATCCAAAAAGGCTCCTCCCAAATACCTCAAGCTCCAGTAACTCCGTCCCAAAATTCCACGTCCTATGGCTGTCGGCTCCCTCCTATCGACACAGAGGTTTTCTCTGGCGACTATCTTCGCTGGCCGACTTTCCGGGACCTTTTCATGGCAATATACATAGACAATCCGAGTCTAACGCCCGTTGAAAAATTATTTCACTTAAATTCAAAAACAAGTGGCGAAGCTCATTCCATAGTTTCGAGATCCCCACTCACCAATGATGGCTTTCGCTCAGCTTGGAATAACCTAACTGAGCGTTTCGAAAATAAGCGATTGCAGGTAAACAGTCACCTGAAAACACTTTTCAATGTGCAATCCATAGCACAGGAGTCGGGAGCAGCCTTAATGGAACTTCAACGCACTTTTCAAGGTTGCTTAACTTCCTTAAAATTTTCCGGTGTTAATATTGAGAATTGGGACCCTTTCCTGGTTTATATGTGCTCGACAAAACTACCAAAGCTCACTCTCTCATTATGGGAGCAATCCATCCAAAATAAAGCCGAAATTCCTACGTGGCTTGAGCTTGATTCATATTTGACGGAGCGCCATCTAACTCTTGAGGCCGTCGATACCTTCCGATCTTCCAATTTCCACCACGTCCAGTCCAAAGACACAAATCGAGAGGCAGAATTTCCAAAAATAAATTCCTTCAACAC